CTACAAGGGAAGAGGTCACATTCAATTTAAACATTTATTAGGCACTTCTGATATACAAGAAAGGTAGTATGCCAGGATCTGGGTAAATGTAGAAGTGAATAAAAGAGGAGTTGAGCATACATGCAATTTACTAAAAAGAAATAAAAAATAATAATTAAGCCCAGCTTGTGTGGTTCAGTGGATTGAGCATTGGTCCATGGCCTGAGAGGTCTCCAGTTTGATTCTACATACCCAGGTTGCGGGCTCAATCTCTGGTAGGGAGTGTGCGGGAGGCAGCCAATTGATTTTCTTTCTCACATCAATGCTTCTATCTCTTTCTCTCTCTCCCTCTAAAAAAATCAATAAAAACATATTTAAAAATAATAATAATAATAGCCCAGCCAGTGTGGCTCAGTGGTTGAACATTGACCCAAACACCAAGAGGTCGCCAGTTTGATTCCTGATCAGGGCACATGTCCAGGTTATGGGCCCAATTCCTGGGGGGATGGGGCATGCAGGAGGCAGCAAATCGATGTTTTCTCTCATTGATGTTTCTCTCTCTCTCTCCCTCTCTCTTCTTCTCTCTCTAAAATCAATAAAGAAAATAAATAAATAATAAATAAATAAATAAATAAATAAATAAATAAATAATAGCCCTGGCTGGTTTGGCTCAGCAGTTAGAGCATCAGTCCATGAACCAAAGAGTCGCGGGTTCGATTCCAGCCAGAGGCACGTACCTCGGTTGCATTCGTCTCCAGTCCTGGTTTGGGTTGTGCAGGAAACAACCAATCAATGTGTCTCTCTCACATAGATGTTTCTCTCTCTCTCTTTCTCTCCCTCTCACTCTGTCTGAAGATAAATGTAAAAATATCCTCAGGTGAGGATTAAACAATAATAATAATAATAAGCACTAGGTTAAAAACATAGCACCACTCTATGCAGTGGGAGAAAAGAGAGTTTTGAGGGTGGGGAATCAAAGAAGGCAGCAACTGAAAATATATTGAAGACTGAAGACGGTTGAGGAGAGAACATAAGAAAAGGCACTTGGATGGAGAACTCTAAACAAAAGGAGATGGCCGTATAAAGGAGATGATACATTGGAGAATGGTGAGGCAAATGCTGTACTCAAGGGTGTGGAGGGTGCAGTGAGAGTTGAGTTTGTGAAGTTGGTTCGATCAGTCCATGGAGTCTTAATGCCCTGGTAGAGTCTGAATTCTAATCCGTTAGGAAACATGGAGCACATGCAGATACATTAGGTAGCAATGAGGACAGCCATGCAGGCCCCCTGCCAAGCATCATACCCTGATGCCCCATCTTTTCCCCACCCTGAACCCCATTCTGAGGACTGAATCCTCAGGCCCCTCTTCTGGCTTACGTTGTGCGGTGGGTGCCAGGCTTCCCTGGGGCCGGAATGAAGCATCTACATGGGCACATATTCCAGAACTGAAGACAGAAGAACCACAAGCACGAGACCAGAGAGGGGCACAGGCCTGGGGGGAGGTGGGAGACAGTTACTCCCAGGTTGGGAGGGCTCGCTCAGAAGTAGGGTAGAAGGAGGCGTTCAGACCACTCCCTGAGATGCCCCTCCTTCCTTTCTAAGATTTTTAACTCCTTGACCCTCCACAGAGACCAGTTTCCCTTTAACATACTGCTCTTTTCTCTGCCACAAGCCTTCAGAGACCCTGCCCCCACCCTTTCCTTAACTCACCATGAATCCCCCATCACCACCTGTCTCTAGTAGAGACATCCCCAAGTGCATATTCACAGCAGGATGAGATGAGTTTCCCAGTGGATAGTCACCTGGTTGGAGCGGGGTAGAAGAGTATGAGACCATGGAGTCACAGAGGGGGTGCTTGAATTCAGGGTGATTTTGGAAGAGCATGAGAAGAGACCAGGATCAAGTCAGGGACAGGAGTATGTGGGATATGAGGGTGAAGGTGAGATACAAGAGGTCAAAGTTACTAGCGTATGAAGGTTAGGGGTTAGCAGTGGAAGAGTGAGGCATCTCCTTACCCAGGTGGCCCTTGGCACATGGGGCATTGTGGGAGGCCCCTATGGGGCAGCGGTAAATGTCTCCCCTTCGGTCGCCTGAAGGCCCATCCCAGGGAGCACCCACCAGCATCCTGGGGGAAGATATGAACATAAACATGACCTTTGAGATAGGCCAGAGAGAAAGTGCATGGGGTGGCAAATCTAGGGCCCCAGCTACTTCTGAAAGACCAGATTCGTTTAGATTCCCATCTTCCTTGCCTCCCCTTCAACATCTCCATCTCAGTCCCAGTCCCATGGCCCTCTGGCTTCCTCCTCACCATCGCTGTCCCTCTCCAACATGCTGTAAGACACTGTATCCAAATTCAGCCTCAGGTGGCCCTGGGAATAGACGTGGGCGATGCACATCCAGGTTAAAGGGGGAGCAGAGACCTGGGTGGGGGGCCAGGATCATAAGGTTAACAGCAAGCAGGCAGAGAGGCTAATGAATGCCCAGAGAGGCACACCAGAGAGAAGCTGTGAAGGAAAGCTTTGCTTGTTACTCATAAGCTGACCTGGCCTCTGTGAATGTCATGTACTCAGAGCTCCAAGCAAGGATGATCTCCTTCCTGTATTTGGGTCGAGCTGTCCGACCTGCAGCCCTCTGCCATGCTAGTGCACAGCTGTATTTCCATTCCAACCACTGAAATCTAATTTACAGACATGTCTGGGTCAAGTTCCTCTTTTCCACATCATCCCTCCTACGCATCTTCCTCCCCAAGCTGTCTGGGTCAAAAGAGGGAGAGAGACTGTCTGCAGCCCCAGAACCATTCCTTTCAAGTTCTCCCCGAAACCAGGACCCCAGGGAGAACAGGAGATGAAGGAACACTGAATGTCTGGGTCTCTCCTCTTTCTCTTCTCAACTCCTAGTGTCATTGTCACACTCTCACTCTCATGCTTCAATGTCTAGGTCTCTGGTTGATCCCGGCCCTGAAAACCTCAGTGGTAATTAACTGGGTGGGGCCACCCGCCTGCCCACACACACTGTTTGCCATTCATCCTTAGCAAGGGTCCCTTCACCCTAAAGTTTCTCACAACCAGCTTCCTTTCTAAACTCACCCACCCTCCCAACTGCCCCTGCATTTCTTCCTTAACTCTCGACCCACTCTAAAGACCCCTACCCCCATCCCCCAAATCATGTCTGGCTGATTCTTCCCTTCCATCCCTTTAAAATCAGAGCTGGTATTTTAGGAAACGAAGATTACAGGGCACTGGTGAGGAAAAATTCCAGGCTCTGGTCTCTCCCATGGTTCTTTCCCTGTGTCTTGCTCCTTCCTTTCAAGTAACCCCCTCTTAAGCCACCCACGACCACTACTACCATTGGCTACAGCTCTGTCTCAAACCATGCTCATTTTCAAAAAGGTGTTTTGTATGTGAGCTTTTTGCATCCAGGAAAATGGCAGGGCTGTATGACTAGGAACTGTAGCTTATCGGTTAGATAAACCCAGAGTTCTGACTACGCGGTTAGTCAGTTATGCCTCAGGCCCCAGAGGCTATCAGCTGTAGAGAGAGGTAGGGAGGGGGATAATAGGAATCAGAGTAGCCACATGGAAGGTCACATCATGTTTCTTTTTGTTCCCCTAACTTCTCCAGGGCTTGGGACACAGGTTTTAGGTAATTGGACACAAATCTTATACAAGGCCCTGACAACCTCAGTCATATCGTGTGGGCATAAGAATGCAAACATGCAAACACACTTGCGCACGCACACACACGCACATACAGACACACTAGAAATGGAGAATCAGTGTCAATCTCTCACTCTAACTCCCAAAGAATTTTAACCCTGACGTCCCAATGCCAAACAATCCAAATATCTTCAAGTCCCATCAGAAACCAAGAAGTTAACCTCCCTCACCTGTCAGGAACATCAGGGACAAGAACAGGTGAGGGATGAGAGGGAGCTCCATGCTTGGTTGTTCTCTGTCCGTGTGAGAAGTCCTCTGTGCCTCTGTCCCTCGTTTTCTGTTTTCTTTAGTTTCCCTCCCATCCTGCCCCCTCCCACTGCCAGCTAAAAATAAAGTTGGGAGGAATGGGAGGAGTGATGGTGGGGAACTGTGGGGAGCCCCAGCAGAGGAAAGAACTGAGTGATCTATTTCTCTGCCTTGGTGCTGCCCCCTGGAGGCGTCATCTCAATATGCAAGGAGAACACAATTGTAGACTATTGCTGCTGTTTCTTTCTCTTCCTTTTTTTTTTCCTATCCTTTGTTTTCAGACAATAATGCTTTCTTTGGGTTTAGAATAAAAAGTATTAGTGAGAGATACGTACTTTTTACTTCCTAAGCTTTTTTTTTCCTTTATTGATTTCTGAGAGAGAGGAAGGAAGGAGAGATAGAAACATCGATGAGAGAGAACATCAATTGGCCACCTCCTACATGCCCCCACTGAGGATTTGGCCCACCACCTTGGCATGTGCCCTGACCAGGAATCAAACTGACAACCTCTTGATGCATGGGTCGATGCTCAACCACTGAGCCACATCAGCTGGGCCTTTTAAGCTTATTAATCTCAACCTGAGATATAAAAAATAAAGAACGGGTAACAGTGGTTTTGTTTCCCCATCCACCAAGGGGAGTCCCAACATATGAAGACACAACCAGCCCACAGACTAAGCCGTACCAGCCCACTCCACTTAACTCTGTTTGTGACTCTTAGCCTATGTTGCCTTGTGGCATTAGTTTTTGGAGGGGCTATAAACTATGAACTGGCATGGCATGTGCCTTGTGGAACTAGTAGAATTACTTTAACATTAGATCCCCATCTTCTCAACTAGGCTATAAATGTTTGATGCTGGGACCAAGGAGTTGAGCTTTTTGTATCTCCACCACCTAGTATTATGCCCTGCATAGTTTAGGTGCTCAATAAAAGTCTGTGGGTGATGATGCAGTGGCTAATACCATGAAATATCCAAATCATAGTGACAGAAATAGGAGCCTCAGATGACAAGAACACATAGGACCAGACCAAACATCAATGAGCAAAGTGATCTTTAATTTGCTAGAAGGCTTGTTCTCCATCATGGGCATGGGCCCTAACTATTTACACAGATTCATTGTACAATATTTACAGCAAGATGTTAGACACGGCATCATTCTAGACAGGCAAAGAATGGGTAAGAACGGGCTATGAACAAAACCCTGAAATCAAAGTGTAAGCAGAAATCTGCAGGTGTAGGTAGAGGAAAGGGTAGGGAGGTTGGTGAGGTAGATATGAGGGAGGAAGAGGAAGCATCAAACCACTTCTGGAGCATGAGGGAAGAGTCCACTGGGACATAAAGTCTTTAAAATTATAATCTGGAGTCTGAAGGGGGTAAAATCTGCCACAAGCCACCTTTGTGAGGAAAAAGAAGGCAATTAGAATCTTAGAGACCATACCTTCTACATCCCTATCAAAAAGTAATTTTGCTGCTGATTAAATTCCTAGGACAGAGGACTAACAAGGCAAAAAAAAGATACGGAGACAGAATCTTAGACTTAAGAGAGACCAAGTAAAAAGAGTCAAGAGAGACAAAGATAATGCAATGAAGGAGGAAAAGAACAAAAGCTCCAGCAGATCTGAACATTAGAATCATCCTACTGACTACATAAGTCACCTTTCCTCACCTCATCTTCCCCAAAGCTCCTTCCTCTACCCCTAAATTTCTGGATTTTAACTTTAATCAAGGAGTAGAATTAGAATGAGGCTGGTACACTGGGGACAGTCTAAGATTCCATCTTATCAGCTCAGGTCCCCTCCTTATCCTGTGCCAGTATATCAGGGCTTGAGTCGTAGCCAAGGGCAGATTAGGGTGAGAATAGACAGGATGGAGGACACAAGGCCACAAAGCCCCACAATCCCAGGGCTACAGCGCCAGAGGCCTAGTTTGTCCAGTGGAATGAAGAGATCACAGGCATTTCTGACTACATCCAGCAGAAGTGGGGGATGACCCCAAAGGACCTGAGCCAGGAGCAGGACTCGGAGCTGAAGCTTCAGAACTATTTGGGGCAGGCCTCTTCCTGCAGTCCCTGGATCCCCAGATCCCCCAGTTTCAATTCCTCCTGGGGCTACTCCTCCAGAGCCCTTCTGTCGCCGGCTATAAACTGAAGACTCTTGTTCCATCAGTAGGCGAATCTCATAAGCGTCACGGCTCAAATTCATGATGAGGGAAAACAGATAGTACCTGAGATACACAGGACAGAAGGGTCAGTAAGGGCATGTATACCCACTTAGCATATGCAACAGAACACTCAAACAGCCCCCCCACACCAAATGCAAAGGATTACACATTAGAACACCAGAAATGAATGCTAGTATCCACTATTAAAAATGTCCTCCCACCTTTCTGTAACTAACATGTTTACAAGTATTTTATGATCGTGGCTTAAAATTCATGAGCATCATCAAATCTTCCAAGCTCAATCTCAAATTTCACTTTTCTACTTGGCAACATATTAACACACACACACATTCAACTTGAACTACAATAATACAAATTTGTTTTAAAAGAATAAACTTCAGCCCTAACCTGTTTGGTTCAGTGGTGGAGCATCGGCCCATGGACCAAAGAGTCTCAGGTTTGATTTGGGTCAAGGGCATGCACCTCAGTTGCAGTTCGGTCCCTGGCCCTGGATGGGGTCGTGCGGGAGGCAGCCAATCAATGTGTCTCTCTCATATTAATGTCTCTCTTTCTCCCACTCTATCTGAAGATAAATGGAAAAGTATCCTTGGGTGAGGATTTTTAAAAAATCAAAATCATGCCCTGGCCAGCATGGCTAAGAGGTTAGAGTGCTGGCCTGTGCACTGAAGGGTTGCATGTTCAACCCCTGGCTCCGGTCAAGGTGCAGGTGGGAGGCAACCAATTGATGTGTCTCTTTCACATCAATGTTTCTCTCTCTCTCCCTCCTCCTTCCAACCTCTCCTTCCACGCTCTCTGAAAATCAGTAGAAAAAATATCCTCGGGTGAGGATTAACCAAAAAAAAAAAAAAGAATAAACATCAGTTGCTTCAGAGTTAAATTATAGATAATTTAAATCCAATCCTTCTGTTTATGTTCAGAGAGGAAGGGAGAAGGAGAGAGAAACATTGGTATGAGAGAGAAACATCAATCAGCTGCCTCCTGCATGCATTCCAACCAGGGATCAAACCCATAACCTAGGCATGTGCCCTGACTGGGAATCAAATCAGCAACCTGGTGTGCATGGGATGACGCTCAAAAAACTGAGCCACACTGGCCAGGACTAAATCCAATCCTTTTGCTAAAATAAAAAGAAGAGGTCCATAAGTGTTAAGCAGCTTGCCAAATGTGTTAAATTATAAATTCCTTAAGAATAGTCTGTTTTTTATTTTTTAATCCACTCTCATAGCAGTGGTCTGTACTCAATATAATTGACCTACCTCCAAAACACATCCTGAATCTAAGCACATCTCTTTGTTACACTCTATCTCCACAGTCTAAGCCACTATCATCTCTTGCTTGAACTACTTTAGTCTTTAAACTTGTCTCTATATGGCCACTGTTGCCCCTCGTCCCCAAGAATCTAATTTCATATAGTATCTGGCATAAACTCCTCTTCTTAAAACTCTTCATGGCTTCCTTCCAGTCACATTTAGGATAAAATCTAGATAACTTAGGTTTACAACCTCAACATCTGACCCTGCTTCTCTAACTCCACATTAAACTACTCTTTCCCTCAACTGCTATACTCCAACCACATCTGTTTCTTTGTGTATTTTGATCACATCAAGCTTGTTCCTCCTTTAGTACCTTTACACTATCGAGTTCCTCTACCTGGAATAATCTGCCTCAAAATCTTCATGTGGCTGGCTCTTTTCTGCTCTTTGGGTCTGAGTTTGAACATCATCTCTTCAGAGAGGCCTTCTCTGATCCCCCAATTCTAAAGTAGCAAGCCATTTACTCTACCACATGACCCTATTTTAATTTCCTGCATAACACTTACCACTATTTAATATTTTTATTTATTCTTTATGTTTGTCTCCTCACATTACAATGTAAGCTCCATAGGAGCAGGAACCTTGTTTGTCTTTACCACTGTATCCCTATGTCTAGACCAGTGCCTGCATATAGTAAGAGCTTGATAAATATCTGTTGAATGAAATGAATAAATATGGCATATACACTCTTCTAGGTAGGTGCTTTTCCATACTACTTAAATCATGCCTCTGTCCCCAGTACTCATACATTACATGCCATGTTATAGCTGTAATTCACTGAGAAAGACAGAAAAACAAAACCTAGCCCTGGCCAGTTTGGCTCAGCGGTTAGAGTGTCGGCCTGCGGTCCGGAGAGACCCGGGTTCGGTTCCCGCTAAGGGCACGTACTTCGGTTGCAGTTTGTCCCCAGCCCTGGTTGGTCGTGCGGGTGGCAGCCACTCGATGTGTCCCTTCACGTCAATGTTTCTCTCTCTCTCTCCCTTCCTCTCTCTCCTTCCCTCTCCATCTGTACAAAAAATGGAAAAATGTCCTCGGTTGAGGATAAAAAAAAAAGGAGAAAAACAAAACCTAAATGTAGATAGAAAGATGCTAATATAATTTAAAAGAACAAAAAGAATCGTAGCAAAACAAAAAATAAATACAGATAATATATATAATAAGATAATTTTATTCCCAAATCATATTTCTCTCCACCTTCTTTACCAGCCAGATCCTTAGTGCAAGTCATATTACAGTACCTTGGCTATACTACAGCATCTCTTCCTCTTTTGCCCTACTGCTGTTCATTTTCCACAATGCAGCAAGAGAGATCTTCTTTAACTACAACTTGAATAATGTCACATCCTTACTCAGAACCCATTGTGCTTAGAATAAAATTTTTTATTTAGCCTTGGCCAATGTGGCTCAGTTGGCTGAGCTTCGTCCCATGCTCTGAAAGGTCACAGTTTCAATTCCCAGACAGGGCACATGCCCAGGCTGCAGGCTCAATCCAAGGTCAGGGTGCAAGCAGGAAGCAGCTGATTAAATTGATGTTTCTCTCTCCCTCTCTCTAAAAAAAAAATCAATTAAAAAAATATATATTTTTGCCCTGGCCAGTTTGGCTCAGTGGTTAGAGCGTCGGCCTGTGGTCCAGAGAGACTTGGGTTCGGTTCCCCCTAAGGGCACATACCTCAGTTGCAGTTTGTCCCCAGCCCTGGTTGGTCATGCAGGTGGCAGCCACTCGATGTGTCCCTTTCACATCGATGTTTCTCTCTCTCTCTCTCTCTCTTCCTCTCTCTCCCTCCCACTCTGTCTGAACAAAAAATGGAAAAATGTCCTCCGGTGACAATCTATCTATCTACCTACCTACCTACCTACCTATGTATAATTTTTTTTAATCCTCATATATGTATGTATGTATAATTTTTTTTAATCCTCACTTGAGGATCTTTTTCCATTGATTTTTAGAGAGTGGAAGGGAGAGAGAGAGCCATCGATGTGAAAGAGACACATTGACTGGTTGCCTCCCACACAACCCCAACTGGGGCTGGGGATCAAACCTGCAACCCAGGTATGTGCCCTTGACTGAAATCAAACCCACAACCCTTCAGTCCACAAGCCAACGCTCTAACCTCTGAGCCAAACTGGCCAGGGCAATAAAAAAAATATTTAATTTAATTTTTAAAATTGGTTTGAGAGAGAAAGGGAGAGAGAGAGAGAGAGAGAAAGAAACATTGATGTGAGAGAGAAACAACCTTTGGTTGCCTCTCGCATGTGCCCTCATTGGGGATCAAACTTGCAACCTAGGTATGTGCCCCAACCAGGAATCAAACCCACCACCTTTTGGTGTATGGGACAATGCTCCAACCAACTGAGCCAAATCTGGCCAGGGCTAGGATAAAAACTTTTAAAGCCCAACCAGTGGGGTTCAGTGGACTGAGTGTCATCCCATGGACTGAGTGTCATCCCATGGACTGAGAGGTCCTGGTTCAATTCCCGGTCAGGACACATGCCTGGCCTGTAGGCTTGATTCTCATAGGAGGTGTGCAGTAGCAGCTGACAGATGTTTCACTCTCACATCAATGTTTCTATCTCTCTCTTCCTTCTTCTCCCTCTAAAAAAAAAACAAAAAACAAAAAAACAATAAAAACATACTAAAAAATTTTTTTAAACTAAACAAAAAATCTTATCATTGCCTAAAAAACTAAACAGAAAGTCTTATCACTGACTAAAAGGCCATAAGTGATCTGACCTCTGTCTAGCTCTCCAGTTTGAATGTATGCCTTTTGACTCAATACTATCCATTACACTAGTTTTCTTTCTATTTTTCTAATTCTACAAAGTCTTTCTTGGTTCAAGGCCTTAGAACATGCTATTATCTGTTTGAAAAGGTCTTCCCTGCTACTGTTTGCTACTATTCAAACTCAGGTCTGAACTAAGATATTACTTTTCTTAAAGAGCTCTTTCCTGATCTTTCTACCTAAATTAGCTCCTCCTGTTACATATCTCATAACACCTTGTACTTTTCCACAAATACCTGGTTTAGTGTTTATTTCTTTTAATATATGACTACCCCACTAGACTAAAAGCTTCATGAGAGCAGGAACCATATCTGTTTGGCTCTTTGCTTTATTCCCTGGACCACAGTAAGCACCTACTAAATAGTTTTAGAATGACTGCATGAGAAGGCAGTGAGGGGCATAACCTATGGCAGTGATTTTCTTTTCTTTTTTATTTTTATTTTTTTTATCCTCACCTGAGGACATTTTTCCATTTTTTGTACAGATAGAGTGGGAGGGAGAGAGAGGAAGAGAGAGAGAGTGAGAGAAACATCGACGTGAAGGGACACATCGAGTGGCTGCCACCCGCACGACCAACCAGGGCCGGGGACAAACTGCAACCGAAGTACATGCCCTTAGCGGAAACCGAACCCGGGTCTCTCCGGACCGCAGGCAGACGCTCCAACCGCTGAGCCAAACCGGCCAGGGCAGTGATTTTCAACAGGTAAGAATTATAGCTATTTTTTTTGTCAGATTAGCAAATAAATATATATTTTGGTGTGCCACAGAATTTTAGTAAATTAGTTTTTGTGTGCCATGAGACAAAAAAGGTTGAAAATCACTGATCTGTGGTATAGATAGTAGCAGAATTAAAGCAATATAATATCTTTCCCAATCTTAGTCATTCATTATGGAGGAGCATTTGTCTTCCATCTGCCTGCATTCCTCATTCTGATAGTTTAAGAACTAAATGAAGATTAGAAGCCAAGTGATTAAGACACGTATATTTTGGGATGACCCTGAGAGATTTTTCTCTCATAAAAGGCAAGCTATGCAGTATGAAAAATACAAAAGGTCTTGTAGAATAAAAGGATATCAAACCTGAATGAACGCTGGGCCCATTTCTCCTGATCCACACGGGGAGCTAGTCCAGACTTTCCAGCCCACAGGACATTGTCACAGGCGAAGTACAAGGCTCGATTGAGGTGACTAACAGTGATGCAGAATCTTAGGACAACATCTGATAGGTGCACAGCTCGTTTGGCTGACTCAAGTGCATCTGCTGAGTTACCCAGGCGTAGAACTTGTGGGGATCAGCAGGAAAAAGCAAAGATTTGGAAGTAGAGAAGCAAACAGAGAGCAAGACACAGAGAAAAAGAAGAAAAAGCAAGAGGGTGAAAGTCAAGCAAGTGATAGAAACAAGAACAAACAAGTTTTAAAAAGAGCAGAAACAGTTCGTGCTTTTTTACTTTAAATTTTAATTCATTTGTGTCCCAGCTTAGTGTCCTCAAACTTGCCCCCTTCTCTCCAATCCCTGATGACTCTCTCGCTCTTGTTGTCTTATCTCAATTGGGAGGCATGTAGAGAACAAATGCAAAGCCAAATGAGGGTGAACTGGTGGAGGAGGTCAAAAGCAGGAAGGAGGGGCTAAGAGAAGAGCTGGGGATGGAAGAAGTGTTGGGGTAATAAAGCGTCAAGTTACTTACGCTTTCTTCCTAGGCTCAGGTGACCCTCCAGTTGTCTAATCTGTTTCTGTAACTCAGGGCTGGCCCCTCGTTTCTGCAGCGCATGGCCAAGAAGGGAGCAGGCGTACTGGGCGGCCCTGGAGGAGAAGACAGGTAAGGTAACCCCCCCTAAAATCCCCCCTAAAAATGTCTCCAAAGGCAAGGGTGGTCCTCCCGTTCTCCCAGGCTGCGCGCGACCATTCCCTTTCCTCCTCGTCTCGCCCGTAACTCGCTTGTTTCTCCTGCAGGCCAGGGTAAGGGAAAGGCATATGGATGAAAGGGAGCCGACAGGGGGATGGGGAGCACTACTTAGAGCTGAGGCTTTAAATACGAGATCTGACAGTGCTGAGGGCGGAAAAGGGCAGTGAAGGCAGCAGGGGTCCATCACAAGCACGTCCAGCGAGGGCAGGTCTGTGATGTGTGAGGGGCTGGGGGGTCGTTGGGGGGCAGAACAGGTGAACTGAGAGATTCCCAGGCCCTCCAGCTGCTGGGACCGACCAGAAGACCGAACGGCGGCAGGGTAGGGGACGGAAGCGGGGAACAAGCCCTCGGCTCTGGGGACAGGGTCCGGGTCGCTCTCCATCCACCAGCGCCCAGCGGCGGGGCTGGGGGTCTGCGGTGCACACGGCCACCCTGCGCGGCCACCCCGCTGGCCCTCTCGTGCCTCAGTTTCACCATCCTTCCCGCCAACAGAAACGAATCGTTTCACGGCCGGCTCGAATCGGCGCCCGCGGTCCGTCCGGGCCCCCGTAGCCCAAGCTGACCCTTTTTGACCCCTGCAGGGTGAACTGACCTCGCCTCGCGCGGGTCGCCGTCTGCCCGCCCTCCCCCATGCCCTCTCGGGCCGCACCTACACAGCCGGTCCCGGGCCTGGCTCTGAGCACTGAATCGGACCCAGGCATCCATGACAGCGGCGCCCAAGCTCCGCAGCCCCGCTCCCGTCCCACTTCCCGCCTTAGTCACGCCTCCCGGACTCAACGGCGCCTCGGGAGGGTCAAACATCGTCGGAAAACAAAGTGCGTGGGACCTGCCGCCGGTGTGGAATTTCGGAACAAGCAGTGCTTGTCTCTGGGCCCACGCCTGCGTGTTTTTTGTGCGTGTCTCCGTGAGCAGGTCGCCTCATCACAGTCTCTATTCCCACGGCGCACCTCCAGCCGCACATTCTGCTTCAATTATCCTGATGCGGGGGCGGGGCTTGCAGGAGAGGGGCGGGACGAGGGGGCGCGGCGGTGACCTCGCATTGGCCGGTGAATTAGGGTACCCCACCCCGGCCGGGTGGGTCCAGCAGAACACCCTCAACAGGCACACACGTGCTCTGGTCCAGTGCAGGGCTCCAGGGACTAAATATGTCCACGGAAGTCGAAGCCAGCACCAGATCCCAGTTTCCTGCAGGGCCCAGACAGTTGGACAGGTGGCCTCCAGAATACAGAGGGAGGGTCTCCAGAGACGGAGGCTTTAGTGGACAGAATTCGCAATAACTAGCTCATCCTAAAAATGGGAGTGAAGTTAACCCCTTCAAACCTACACTTCATCCCCCCACTACTTTCCCTTTCAAGTCACCATGTCTGCGGGGAAGGCACCCCTTGCAGGTCAGCGGCGTGGGAGGAGGCCTGAGCAGGATTAGTTGTAGAGGGCTCAGAGCTGCCCACCTCCGCCACTATGGTGTGAGTATGTGTGGCCATTGTGTTGTTTGATTCTTAGGCTGGAGGGAACCTGGCAGTGCTGTGCTCAGTGACAGCTGCAGCCCAATCAGCTCCGCCTCTCAGGTAAAGCAGCTGTTTACTCATTTAGCAGCTCTAGATTTACTGGACACTTTTGTGGTTATGCCCCTGGATGCCACCTGGAATATCACTGTTCTATGGCTGGCGGGGGACATCGCATAATGGACACTCATATTCCTGAAACTAATGGCCATGCATGTATTCAGCAGCTTTTCTGCCTGTGGTCTTTGGGCTTGACCACCAGGCAGCAGTACAACACCTCCTTGGACCCCACTCAGCTGTAAGGAAACTCCTGGGGGCTGCCTGTGGGCTTGGTTTTCTGTTTGCCTTGCCCCAGGTGAGTGACTTATCTGAACTCAGGGCTAGATGAATCAGAATTTGGGTACATAACATGACCCTTCAGAATCAATGGGTGTGGTTGGCAGTGGTCAGCCATTAATCCTCAGGGGGGAGTGTCTGATATTCTTTTGCATGTTAAGATCATTGCTTGTTAATTTGTATCTGTTAAGATCTATTTTTTTATTAAATATTTTTTCTTTATTGATTTTAGAGAGGAATAGCGAGAAACCGATGAGCTAGAACATCGATTGGCCGCCTCCTGCATGCCCCCCCCACACACACACATTGGGGATTTGGCTCATAACCTAGGCATGTGCCCTGACCAGGAATCAAACCGGTGACCTCTTGGTGCATGGGTCCACGCTCTCAACCAGTGAGCCACACCTACCAGGCATCTGCTAAGATCTTAAAAACAGTACCCTTTCATCTACACCTGTTCCTTCAGCTTTGTTTTACTACAGTTAGCTTACACTCTGCATACTCCCAGTACCACGTTTCAGGAGATTGTTGCAGAAAAAACATACATGGGAGTCTAAGAAGACAGTGAAACCAGGGCTCTGGTTAAAACTTTGTGATACATTCATTCTTCGATTCAAAAAATAATGTGCATCATCCCAAGTATATCCAAATACTCTATCAAGGATAGAGCAACAAAGTCCTGCCTTCAAGAAATTTATAGACAAGTACAGAAGACAAATACAATAAAGTGTACAATCAAGTGTTATACTTAAAGGTAAGCATAAGGAGCTAAAGAACAATGAGGGAGTATCTGATCCACTCTTGGTCAGGGAAAGCTTCCCAGAGTTGTTAAAATTTGATTATTTTATTTTTTTCCTTTATTGATTTTATTTTTTTGTTTTTTTTTTATCCTCACCCTAGGACATCTTTCCATTTTTTGCACAGATAGAGTGGGAGGGAGAGGGAGGAAGAGAGAGAGAGAGAGAAACATCAACGTGAAAGGGACACATCGAGTGGCTGCCACCCACACGACCAGCCAGGGCCGGGGACAAACTGCAACCGAGGTACATGCCCTTAGCGGGAACCGAACCCGGGTCTCTCCGGACCGCAGGCCGATGCTCTAACCGCTGAGCCAAACCGGCCAGGGCTTTCCTTTATTGATTTTAGAGGGAGAGATAGAAACGTCAATGAGAGAGAATGATTGGCCTCCTCCTGGATGCCCCCCACTGGGGATCGGGCCCACAACATGGACATGTGTCTGGACCGGGAATCAAACCAGTGACCTCTTGGTGCATGGGTCTATGCTCAACCACTGAGCCACTAAAATCTGATTGTTGAAAGATAGGTGTTAAAGAAGTTAAAGCAGGAAGAATGCTGGGAAGGGTGGAATACAGTGAATCGCAAAGTGGTTGCAGCTATAATTGAGGGCTAGAAAATGGTGAGTAATGAACCTGGAGGGGAAGGAAGAGCCAGATTACAAATATGAAGAATGTACTTTACCCTCAGGACAATGGAAAGGCACTAAAGTAAAAAGTGGAGTGACATAATCTCATTTGTATTTTTTTACTCCAGTTTTATTGTGAAATGGGTGTCAAACTAGTAAAAGAAGATAGCATCTGAACCTGAGTACCAGATAATCAAATCTCAATATGAAAATGAACTAGAATCTAGAAAAAAGGTTAAATACAAAATTTTTTCAAAACAAAAACAAAACGCACTATGGGAGTGGAAGGGTGAGATAGGTAGGTAGAGCAGCATCTCTGAGATTAGAATTAGGATTATCTAGAAGGGGGCTAAAATTTCAATCTTTTGATTGATAATGCATTAGAGTCAAAGATTTCATCCTTAAACCCTCAAATATTAAAAATATAACTACCAAAAGTTAGTCTGATTATAGTTCTAAGTATATACAAATATGTGTGAATATATTCACACACATATATATATATATATATATATATATAAAATCTTCCAATAGTTTGTTATAAGTAGGACCTCTGTTACCCCAAGATTTTAAAAAAGCAGTTTGTTGCCTCCGTGTAAAAGGAATTGCAGTTAGGTGTGTTCATATGAATTTTAGGTGTAGATTTGGAGTTAGAAGCCTATTTTTATTGCATTGTTTCACTTTTATTTATTTATTTATCTATTTTTTATTCTAGGCTCTATCACTACCTAGCTATAAGACTTTGGTGTAATCAGTTGAAATCCATGGGCCACAAGATGACATAGATGCATTTCTTTCTTTCTTTCAGCCTGACCTGATTAATAGTTGCAATCTCGATTTGCTTTAATGGCAAACTAGTGGTAACATTAACATACATGTGCAAAAAGTGATGTTATTTTTGGTTCCAAATTAGTGTCCTTTTGTATAATTCTGCACTGCCCCTAGGTTGTACTTAAAATGTGTCAAAAAATATTTTAAAAATTTTTAATTGATTTGAGAAAGAGAGGAAAGGAGAAACATTGATTATGTTGTTCCACTTATTTATGCACTTATTGGCTAAGTCCTGCATGTGCCCCAACAGGTGATCGAACCTGAAACCCTGGCGTATTGGGATGACACTAACCAACTGAACTATCTGGCCAGGGCAAAAAAAAAAATTTTTTTTAAGTCTGGTGTCAGTGTGATGAAGGAAAACTGGAGTAGTTAGAAATTAGTTTGTAAGATAAAGTTTCCAAGTATCGGATGTAATTAACAGGAAGGTTTTTAGGGAAACTACATATAAAACAGGGAAAAGAGAGGCAGAAGTAAAGCTATGGATCAAACTTAAGTCCCTTCTCAAAGTGTCAAAGTATTTCTACTAGGCATAGTGCAAAAAGAAAAAACCCCAAACCCCCAGAAATATACAAACTCATGATTGAGGAAGAGTAAAGACCAATGTCCAACTAGCTTAGTGCAACCTGATCACAACTCAAGTAGTTCATAAAATTGTTCGTCTATGGCTGATACTATCTACTTTTCTTTCCTAAAAGTCCCTCATGCCTGCTGAAATCATTTTTCCAAATGCCTTATATCTAGGAATGTGATAACTACAGAACTTGCCTTTTATCAAACTAACAGTGACTCAATCTACCTTACCTGAATCAAGGTACTAACTTACCTGAAGCTCAAACCTCAAAAATACTCTTTATTGATTCAAACCAAAAACTCAACAATTTACCAAAAAGGTAGAGGGGCAGCCAACAGCGTTTGGAAAATGTTAAATTTTATTATTATTATTATTTTTTATCCTCATCCAAGGACATTTTTCCATTTTTTTGTTCAGGGGGGGGGGGGGGGGGAGGGACATCATGAAAGGGACACACCGAGTGGCTACCACCTGCATGACCCAACCAGGGCTGGGGACAAACTGCAACCGAAGTACATGCCCTTAGTGGGAACCAAACCCAGGTCTCTCTGGACCGCAGGTTGATGCTCTTACCGCTGAGCCAAACCAGCCAGGGCTAAATTTTATTAACATTGTTTTACCACTATACTTATTGTACTAAAGGTCACTTCAGAGTGGCTGCACAATGGCCTGAAATTTTAGCAGCACCCATTTACACAAGATTTTTCCCCACAGAATTTATCACAGACACATCAGGAAAATCATTTCAGCTAAAAATGTTGGTGAGGTGGTAGAGATATCCTTTTATAAAGTGCAATGTTTAGAATGGTACTTGAAAGAAAAAAAAAAATAGTACTTGAAAAGGCAGGGTTCTCTTTTTTTTTTTTTTATCCTCACCCGAGGACATTTTTCCATTTTTTGTACAGATAGAGTGGGAGGGAGAAAGAAGAAGAGAGAGAGAGAGAAACATCGACGTGAAAGAGACACATCGAGTGGCTGCCATCCACATGACCAACCAGGGCCAGGGACAAACCGCAACCGAGGTACATGCCCTTAGCGGGAACCGAACCCGGGTCTCTCTGGACCGCAGGCCGACGCTCTAACCGCTGAGCCAAACCGGCCAGGGCAAGGCAGGGTTCTTTAAGTCCCAGGATTTAACAAACTTAATGATTAGCTCCATAGCCTAAGGGGAACACAGGGATTTTCAAGATACATTTCTAACCTTTTAAATATTGGCACCACAGATGAACCATAACTCAGCACTGTCCTGTTCTGCAGAGAGTCAAGAATGAATTGGGAAGAAACTGTGTGACACTGGTGGGTAGGTTGAGAGGAGGTGGATGGGGACCAGTTTTAATGATCCTCAACCCCATTATAGCTGTTCCTCTTCCTTACCATCTACCAAGCTGGCCCAGACCCCTTCACTCAATGTCACCAAAGGCAACCTCAAGGCTCAATGGCAAGAGACTACCTGTAACCTCTTTCTTCATCTTCTGCTGCCCATTCTGCTGCCACTGACTGCCATGACCATTTGCTATAGTTGCATTGTTTTCAGTGTGTCTAGTCCCCCGACAAGGAAAGTGAGACTTCAATCCCCAGGCCCTAATCCATACCCTAAAACTATTGCCTCTAGCTTATTTACTTATCTGATAGCTACCTGTCAAACCAAAAGTGAGACCCTAACTGTGTTTCTAGTACCTGATGCTACACGATAATTTTCTTGAATGCCTTCAATTCTAATCAACCTCTAGCCATCATCTGAACTTGAGTTAACTGAACAAGGATTAAGGAGAAAGGTGGTCAGTATTCTCCTTTACACTTGGGACACCATGAAGTCTTAAAATAGACTTAGCAGCTTCATATAACCCAGCACCTCAATCAAACCTTTTCTCCAGTGTGTCTGTCATAACCCCTGGGGGAAAGGGAGCATCTAGTCCCAAGTTGTGAAGGAGAAGAGGGTTCGCAGCCTTCTCTTCCTTGTAAGGGGAGAGCTCCATCTCACTGCCCAACCATCAATTCACCCTCTACTCAGGTCAGAAGCTAATGGTTCCGAATTTCAGTGTATTTTTTAAATTCCCAGCCCCTGTTACTGAATTCACCCTCTGCTGCTCCTTAGATAATCACCCTAGTGTTTGTCTGTGTCCTTGCAACAGGCCCTGCTTATTCTGCTGGCCTGTCCTCTGCTGGACACCTTACTACTGCTGGGTCTCTGGTACTGGCTGTCTTCTACAATGCTAACTGAAGTCCCTCCTAGCCTCAGCCACATCCTTTTCCTCTTTGGCTTCATCAATGCTCCTCTGGATCATCTCCAGGGAGCCTTCACCCTTGCCTGCCAAAGTGGGCACCAAGAACTTTGCATAGACTCCTTCAGGGAAGAAGAATCTGGGAGAATGCCCTGATAGATTTAAGCCCTTGGACAGCTGGAGATACAAACAAATGTGGCAAGGGCAGGAGAAACAAAAGAAACATTCCTGTAACATCCATTTGCTCAGGACAAAGTATATAGGAATAAACTAATTATTCTTTAATATTCTAAAACATCTCACTTCTACCACTGCTCTCTTAGCTTCCAAGAAAAATAAATACTAATCAGTATTTCTACTTTGACCCTTTGAGAATTGAGACCTTATCTAATGTAGAAACTCAAACAATTCAGTAAATGAGTGAAGTATATTCACAGTGACCCATACTGTCTTACTGTAAATAGTACTTCAGAGCTTGCAAGGTTAGAGCAGAAAATAATTTTAAATGTAGAAAACATAAATGGGACATTTATTTATAACAAAAAAAACCAACAAAACCCCAAATACTAAGCCATAAAGTAAGATTAAACAGAGTTCAATTCGAGCCCTACTTCTCCAAGGCTGCAAGTCCAATGGAATCTCTGGAGAAAACACCAGAACAACAGAGGACCTGTCAGCGACGCCTCCGGTCTGGACTCCTGCTGCGTCTTCGGCCACCTCTAGAAAAAAGAAAAGGGGAGGGGAGGGTGTCCATCAGCGGGACATAATACAATGTTCTTTTTCTGTTTTGCTTATATTCCCTTCCCCAAGACAGCGTGTTTTCCCACTCCACTTTACCTCCTCTTGCCCTTGGGTGGACCCCGAACAAAACACCAGTCCACACTGATCGGCTGTCCCATCAAATCCTGGCCATTGAGTCCCTCCATAGCAGCCTGGGCTTCCTTGTACGTTTCATACTCAACTAGAGTATACCCCTAGAGCAAGCAAAAAGACATCAAAACCCTCCTGTTCCACCAAGCTATTTTCTACTCAAATAGGAAAAGTTTTTAACTTTAAACAATGAATGTACATCATATATCCCAACTGGGTATACAACATGTTTGTTTCTGTCTCTGCCGTGTCCAACAAAACCCATTTCCAATGTCATTTTATTTCAACTTTGCTCTTGGCCAACCGCAGCAAACATGGGAGATCTACAAACGCTGTCTAAGGGGAGGAAGAGAGGCAATGGAGCATAACTTAGGATACCTTCAGGTATCCTGTACGCCTGTCCAGGTTGAGGTGGATGTTTTTTATTTCCCCATACTCTGCAAATTTGTCATGGATATCTTCTTCCGTGGCTTCTTCGTGGACTCCAGTGACAAAGAGAATCCAGCCTTCAACAGCTATTGGGGAGGGGAGAGAGAATGTCTGAGCACAGGAAGGAAAAACCTGAAGCAGTATCACAGGAGTAAAGTGAGTGCGGACTCCAGGGATTGGTTAAGCTACCTTCCACCCTTTCCTACCGGGTTTTATTTCGGTCTCTAATTCTCTACAGACACAGGTCCCTACAGGCTCCATTTTACTCACAGCGCTGTGGTCCGGGTTCATCTCCATCCTGCTCGACGCTGTCATAATCCTCACGCATTCGTGCTCGAGACCCCTCTTCTAGGAAACATACACCAGATCACCGGAAGTACCCCCCTTTCCCACGGTTCCCCATGAATCTTAATCCTCACACTCACCGGAGCCAAAGCCGCGGCCCTTCCGTTTCTTTGCTTTTTCTTTCAGTTTGTGGATGCTCTCTGTAATCCCACAAGTGAAAGGGTAAGTAACAAAGATAACATCCAGAACAACAGCCTCTTACCCAAAGGTAAGCGGACCCCACCACCTCCAGCTCCAGTCCCTTTCTGGTCCCGCCCCGGCGCCCATCCTCCCCGCCGCGAAGAAGAGAAAGGATGTTTCCCTCTGACGCCCTTCTCGCGCACCTTCCCCGCTTCCCTCAGCCGCCTCCACTGTCCTCACCGTCCCCATCCTCATCCATGGCGAAATCCTCGCCCCCGGCCTCATGAAGATCCAGCACGTCCGCCATCTTGCCGTCGTTATAACTCCTGTCTGCGCCGCTGAGAAACTAAGCGCCCCCGAGAAACTGTCGCGGAGGCGAAAGGTCGCCAGTCTAATCCACCAATCAAATGCTTACTCCAAGTTCCGTCCTCGACGCAGCGAAAACACGCACTTGGAGGCGGGCCCAGCCCGCGAGAGACGGAAGTGTTCCGGGAGCCATCTTGAGCAGGTCGTGAGCTGGAGCCGCGGCCCTGGGGGGGACACGCTGGAGCGAGGCGGGGGCCGCGGCTTCCGGTTCTCTGGGCCGACCGAGGAGCAGTACTGCGGACGGGGAAGCCCGGCCTAATTTCTTTAGTAGAAGGTTGCCTTCTGTCTCTTTTCACCCCTTACTAGAAAGTGGAAGTTGAAAGTTTTTTTCTCAGAACTTCCAGGCCTATACCCTGTTTCGAGGAGCAGCCGGAGCTGGGATGTAAACATTAAAAAAAGTTCACCCAGCAATGCGGGCTCAAAAAGCTATTCTGGGACGTACTGCGGCACCGAATTCTCTAACAGACCTGGTTGTCTGTGCAAGTCTTTTGGTGAGCTAGGTACCAGCTTTTTTTTTTTCCCCCCAAAGATAAACTCCCAAACTTTTCTCACCACTTCTGGGAATTAAAAATGAAAACAAAAAATCATGGCTTTAAACAAAATAGGGGCTTTAGCTTCTTGGAGGATGGGGCGGGCATTTCACGGTTAAAAATCGAGGAGTTCAGCTCTGGCCTTGCTGAGAAGCTGGGTTGATGAGCGGGTCCTCCCCGTAGGCCAAGGTTCATCCCGGGTCAGGGCACACATAAGAATGCATAAGTAAGTGGGACAACAAACCGATATTTCTCTCTTTCAAATCAATGTTGTTTTTTTAAATGCCTTTAATTAACAAAAGAAACAAAAACACCTAGGAGTTGAGACAAAACTCATACTGTCCTAAAATCCTGGAGTCCCAATGTAGGCCTTAAGCAATAGTGGACTGTAGGTTCACTTACTAAATTTTTTATTTATTTTTTTATCCTCACCCGAGGATATTTTTCCATTTTTTGTACAGATAGAGTGGGAGGGAGAGAGAGGAAGGAGAGAGAGAGAGAAACATCGACGTGAAGGGACACATCGAGTGGCTGCCACCCGCACGACCCAACCAGGGCCGGGGACAAACTGCAACCCAAGTACGTGCGTGCCCTTAGCGGGAACCGAACCCGGATCTCTCTGGACCGCAGGCCGACGCTCTAACCGCTGAGCCAAACTGGCCAGGGCCACTTACTAAATTTTTTTTTTTGGTACGTGCTCCTAGCGGAAATCAAACCCAGGACTCTCTGGTCCGCAGGCCAACGCTCCAACCGCTGAGCCAAACCGGGGCCAGGGCCACTTATTAATTTTTTAATCAAATGATTTTCAGTGTTTATATGTGCCTACCAGTAGAGGTGGTGCTGGCGATCCAAGGCACAATAATTGTATTATCAACAACCAACTTTAGAATTACATATGGAAGTGGTCATTGCTATCACAAAGGTGTATGGTGGTACAAAGCAAGTTTCTAACAGGAATGGCGTTAGGAGGGTGCATGTGAGGGAGGACTTTTGTTTGAACGGGGCCTTTAAGGCTGGGTAGGTTTCCAGACAAAGCAGTTGTGTTGAGACTAATCCATTTTCCACAGTAGGCAGTTTGATCTTTTTAGAAAATCAGTTAGTTACCTCCCTTCCTTATTTTTGCACTTCGAATAACATTTAAATCCACACAGCCTCCCCTGCATATGTCTCCAGCCTCTTCCACCACCATTTTTCTCTCTCACCAGTTAAGCTCAAGCTCTCCCTACACTTCCTTCCCCTATGTTGTATTGTGCTCTTTCCCATCTCAGGACTTTTGCAACTTTCTGCTCCTGGTGCTTACTCCAGCTTTTCATTTGTTTCAAGGAATCTTTTAATTTCTTCCTTGATCTCATTGTTAACCCAGTCATGTTATTTGGTGTCTGTGTCTTTGTGTGTTTTTCAGGTTTCTTTTTGTGGTTGATTTCAAGTTTCATAGCATTATAGTCAGAGGAGGTGCTTGATATCTTCTTAAATTTATTGAGACTTGTTTTGTGTCCTACCATATGATCTATCGTAGAAAATGTTCCATGTGCACTTGAAAAGAATGAACATTCTGCTGCTTTGGGGTGAAATGCTCTAAAGATACCAATTAAATCCATTTGATCTAGGGTGTTATTTATGCCCACGTCTCCTTGTTGGTTTTTAAAAATTGGGCTGTCATAAGCCATTTGTATTTAAAGTGATTATTGATAAGTATGTATTTATTGCCATTTTATTTTTTTAACTATGTTCTTCTGTTTGTTTCTCCTCCTCCTCCTCCTGCTCCTCATAATTTAACATTTTTTATAATACTGGTTTGGTGGTAACAAAGTCCTTTAGCTTTTTCATGTCTGGAAAGCTCCTTTATTTCTTTTTTTATTTTTATTTTTTTCTTTTATTGATTTTAGAGAGAGAGGAAGTGAGAGGGAGAGATAAAAGCATTGATGAGAGAGAACATCTATTGGCCACCTTCTGCATGCCCCCCACTGGGGATCGGGCCCACAACCTGGGCATGTGTCCTGACCAGGAATTGAACCAGCAACCTCTTGGTGCATGGGTCGACATTCAACCACTGAGCCACACCGGCCAGATGAAAGCTCTTTATTTCTCCTTCAATTTTAAATGATAGCCTTACTGGGTAAAGTAGCCTTGGTTGTAGGTCCTTGCTTTTTATCATTTTGAATATTTCATGGCACTCCCCTCTAGCTTGAAATGTTTCTGTTGATACTTACCTGGCAGGGGAGATACCATGATCACGAAGGTGGTTTTCCCAGGGTGAGGCTTATCCATTGCACTCCAGATGTGCTGACTTCTGCAATTTCCCCAAATTTGGGAAACTCAACTGCATAATTTGTGGTAGTGGGGGAAAAAAGAAAAAAAAATGCTTCTGTTGAGAAATCAGCTGACAGCCTTATGGGAGATCCCTTGTAGGTAACTAACTGCCTTTCTCTTGTAGCTTTTAAGATTCTTTAACCTTTGGCATTTTAATTATGATGTGTCCTGGTGTTGGCCTCTTTGGGTCCATCTTGTTTGGGACTCTGCACTTCCTGGACTTGTGTGTTTTTTCCTTCACCAGGTTAGGAAAGTTTTTGGTCGTTATTTCTTCAAATAGGTTCTCAATTCCTTGCTCTCTTCTCCTTCTGGTACCTCTGTGATATGGATGTTGTCACACTTCATATTGCCCCAAAAATCTCTTAAACTACCCTCACTCTTTTCTTTTTTTTTTTTCCATTTTTTGTTCAGACAGGGTGGGAGGGAGAGAGAGGAAGAGAGAGAGAGAAAAGGACACATCGAGTGGGTGCCTCCCACACAACCCAACCAGGGCCGGGGACAAACTACAACTGAGGTACGTGCCCTTAGCAGGAACCAAACCCAGGCTTTTCTGGACCTCAGGCCGATGCTCTAACTGCTGAGCCAAACCGGCCAGGGCTACCCTCACTTTTTAAAATTACTTTTTGTTGCTGCTGCTCTAATTAGGTGTTTTTTTCTACATGTGTTCCAGTTTGCTCATTCGATCCTCTGCTTCATCTAACCTATTTTTTTTTCCTTCCAGTGTATTTTTTATTTCAAATATTGCATTCTTCATTTCTGACTGGTCCTTTTTTATGGTTTCTATGTCCTTTTTCATGCTGTTGAACATTCTTATAACCACTGCTTTGAAATCTATTTTTGATAAGTTGCTTGCCTCCATTTCATTTAGCTCTTCTTCTGGAGAATTCTCTTATTCTTTCATTTGGGACCTGTTTCTTGGTTTCCCGCATTTGACTGCCTCTTTGTGTTTGTTTCTATGTATGAGGTAGATCTGCTATGACTCCCAGTCTTGGTAGGATGGACATATATAGGTATCCTTTGGGACCCAGTGGCACAATCTCCCTGATCACCTGAGCTGGGTATTCTAGGAATGTCCCTTGTGGGTGTTATGTGGGACCTCCTATTGTAATTGAGTCTTGAGTGCTATTGGCCCATTCGTGCATGGGATCAACCGTAGGCTGGCTGGCTGTGAGACTCAACCCCCAACACAGCCTGCAAGCTACTGTGCAGGTGCTGATCACATGAAGCAGAATTTGCCTCTGCAGGTTATGGTGCCTGCTGGGTTCTCCCTGTAGATATACTACTTGTGAAGCTTATTGGATCCTGCTCTGTTGTTATTTGAATCTGGCCACTGGATATATTGGTTCTGGGCCTCTTTGGAGAAATTCTGGCACAGGCTATTGTCAGACATTGCCTGTTACTGGCCCTGGACAACCTGTTTGGAGCTATCAGTGATCCACAGCTTGTGGCTCCCTCTGCTGGGCCTATGTGCCTGTGGAGAGGACCAAGCTGTGCATCCTGGCTGGCTTTTACTAGCACTGGTCCTGGGGGCAGGTCAGCAAAAGTCCCAAAGCACCCAGAGATCCGCCTCTGCCTGCAGGCTGCTGCCTGTTAGGCTTAGTCACTAAAACAGCCTGATTGTACTTCTCAGCAGGATGTAAATTCCACAGGGTGGGGCAAGAGGGATTCTAGTGCATGGGGCTAATACTTCCCCCTAGGCTGATGCCCCTTGGAGGGGAGTGTGCTGCCTGAGAAAGATTTCTGCAGTAAGGGGGAATGATTCAGCACAGGGGTCCTGGTGGCTGATCCTTCAACTCTCTCCCCAGAGCCACCAACCCCAGACTCTCCTCACAGCTCTAGTCTGCTCTGCCCTCCATCTACTGGAGCCTAGGGTGAGTGGCTGCAAATGAAATTTTGTGTGTTGGCCCTGGCCAGTTTGGCTCAGCGGTTAGAGCATCGGCCTGCGGACCAGAGAGTCCCGGGTTCAGTTCCCGCTAAGAGCACGTACCGATTGCAATTTGTCCCTACCCTAGTTGGGGTCGTGTGGGCGGCAACCACTTGATGTCTCTCTCAGATCGATGTTTCTCTTTCTCTTCCCCCCCTTCTCTCCTGCTCTATCTAAAGATAAATGCAAAAATGTACTCTGGTGAGGATTAAAAAAAAAAAAAGAAAGACATTTTGTGTGTTGGCACTTTAAGAGGGTGCCTGCTTCTCTAGTCGTCACTCCCTGGAGGACAGAGACCCTGCTGCTTTTCATAGCTGAATGTTATGTGGGTGCCTTTCCAGAGTCTGGTGCTCTAGGCTAGGGAGCCCAGCTTGGGGTTTAGACCCCAGACTTATTAGGGGGAACCCCCTGCAGCTGAGATAATCTCTCCGGAACTTCAGCTGCTGCCTATGGGAGCCCAGCCAGTCCTGTCGTGTCTCCACACTTCCTACCAGTCTTGTTGTGGCTCCTTCTGTAGGTTCTTGGTTCCAAGGCTTTTCTCTAGCTAGTCTTCAGTTGGTTATTAAGGATGATTCTTCTATAATTTAGTTGTATTCCAGTTTGGTTCTGGGAGGAAGTTCGTGTAGCTTCCACCTCTAATATTTTCAAGACATAATGCCAGTTGTTAGGGAAGATGCAAGAAATCTGTTTGACTTCCTATCTTTCCATGGGATTCTTCAGTGGCTCCCAGATGCCTCACAGACCAAAGCAAACAAAGACATAACCACTTCTCATGTGTCCCGGGAAGAGAAGCACAGTCATTATTTTAGAAAGAAACATGACAGTAATGTGTAGGATGTCAAGAATGAAGGCAGAGCCTGGCTGGTTAGAGTATCGTCTTGATCTGGGGCCTCAAAGAGGAGCATGTATGGAGAAATGGGTTTTATTTTGAACATATGAGTCTAAAGGATTTGTGTCATATTGAGGTGGTGATGTCCAACATATGGAAATATCGATGTAAAAAGCTCAAAACAGGTTGGAGTAGAAGCAATAGATTTGAGAATTGTGTGTATGATAGAGTTTAGACCACCATAGTGGGTAAGATTGCAAGTGGAAATGGGTAGAATTTAAGGAGAAAGAACTAAGGACAAAAATCCAGGCTTCTCAAATGTCTGGAGATGGGGAAGCAGACAGAATGTTTTCCCCAGCAGTACAATCTTTTCTCTACCACCCAAAAAATACTAATACAATTATTTTTTAGTATATATGTAAAAGAAATGGTCATTTTATAGCTCCTCTGATACAAAAAGTCTCAAAGAGTCAATCTGGCACACTAGACAAAAATCTATTTTTAATTGTATAAAATTATACATATAAAATACATAAAAAGTACTAAAAAGATAAGTAAAATCTTTAACACCAAAAGTGTACAGATCAGGGAACAATTTTTCTCAAGTTCTTTGGGATCTTACTGGTTGGTATTTGAGAAAAATAGTAAATCCAGGTGGTGCAAAGATAAGTTCTTCCCACAACTCACACCCCTTAACACTTCCCAGAGAATGGAGCATGGGTGAAATGAAGGTTCATGGTTTCTGGGTTATAAATACCAGTAAAAACTGAATAGACATACCTACTATTTAATGTAGGAGCCTCTGTTCCAACCCTACATGTACTTCATGGAATACCGAGAAGGGGCTTGGAGAATTCAAGAAAGCCCTGATATATTTGTTGCTAAGGTACCTTGCCTTTGATCCCATAAATGATTTCAAAAGGAAGAAAGCTGACTTTCATCTTGTCCCTATCTGATCCAAAAGAGAAAATTGTGGCCTGTTTCCTAACTTGTTTCTGAAAGCAAAGTGTATAATTGCTAAGTGGAAAGTCTAATTGTAGAAACATTAAACTTCCCAAGCTCAGTTTAGAAAGTGCACTGAGCAAACAAGGGGAAAATATGTCTTAGAGATCTATAAAAAATTCTCCCGAAGGTGAATATTTTACTCCAGATCATTTCTCTCCTATTCCACACAGGAGAGTGGTGGGGGGAAAGAATAGCATTAAAAACACAAATAGCTAATCACTGATTCTCTTTCTCTTCACAATCTTCCAATTAGGAAGTGCCATAATGCCAAAGTCTTATCTAATTCACCTGATCAACTCATGCTTTAATAATCAATGTGAAGAAAGAGGAAAGAAAACAGAAAACAAATGTGCATCTAAGGTATGTACATCTAAAGTAGTAGACAGAAGCAACTTTGTGGCAGTGAGAGGAACATGGCCCTCACCAAACAGGACAGATCATTTTTTCCAAAGAACAAAATGATGGGCAGAGAGTGAGGAGGGAAATATGTTTTACTTTCTACCAATCTCTGCAGGCACTTAACTAAGCTAGGGGAGCAGGAATGAAAAGGGAATATTGAAGGATAAGCAACTTCAACCCTGACCCCCTCTGTAGTGTAGAGTACATCCAGAAATCTGGACTACGGTATGGTATCTGTGCCCCAGAAGCAATTTAGGTGACAAACTTTGTGAATTGTGTTTATAATTCTTCTCGTTCCTCAGCACTTTCTCAGGAATGACTTTAAAAATGAGAAACCAGCCCTGGTCAGTTTGGCTCAGCAGTTCAAGCGTTGGCCTGTGGACCAGAGAGTCCTGGGTTCAGTTCCCGCTAAGGGCACATACCTTAATTGCAATTTGTCCCCGGCCCTGGTTGGGGTCATGTGGGTGGCGACCACTCGATGTGTCTCTCTCACATTGATGTTTCCCTCTCTCTCTTCCTCCCTCTCTCCTGCCTGCTCTATCTGAAGAATGCAAAAATGTCCTTAAGTGAGGATTTAAAAAATTTTTAAAAATAATAAAAATGAGAAACCAGCCCAGCCGGTGTGGCTCAGTGGATTGAGCATTGTCCCATGGACTGAGTGGTCCTGGTTCAATTCCCGGTCAAGGCAAATGCCTGGGTTGCAGGCTTGAGGAGGCAGCTGATCAATGCATTTCTCTCACATCGATGTTTCTATCTCTCTCTCCCTTCTTCTCACTCTGAAAAATCAATAAAACGCATATTTTTTTTTACAAAGCGAGAAATCAGTTCTCCAGTTCCTATCCGGTACCAACTGGAGTCAGAGTGGGAGTAAATCGTGGTGAGGAGGGGTGGTGTAGGTTAGGAAATATCATTACTGGAGGAACAACTCAGTACCAAGTAGGCCCAACTCAAGACAAAACAAAGTTGGAGGCTTCATATGTATAACCTATTTGAGTCTAAAAGAAAGCAGGAATGGGATGGGGGGATATAGTCCTCATTCAAACTCCCTGTCATTTAAAAGGAGACATGAACACTTAATCATCTTGTGCTACTGAAATGACTACAGAATTACTGGGAGTGTTAAAAGCCAACAAAGCTCCAAAGACAGCCTGCTCTTCTTGTAAAATAAAGTGGAGATGTTTCAAATGAAACTACGTCCAAAAACTAGAAGAAAAGGGATCTCTTAGCAAAAAGGAATCCAGGTGCAGAATTTATACATACATATATGTGTGCGTGTTTGTGTGTATGTATATTTTTTAAAGTATAAAATTGAGAAACTATGTACAGAAATCATACTAAGTCTTAGAAAGAACATATAAAAGGGGCCTGGAGAGAATAGGAAATAGTGTGTGGATGCCTAGCAGTTGGAAGAATGCATATTGCCCAGCTGCCCAGCAGCCAACATGAGAATATCTTTCTTCTCCTTGTGGAAGCGCAGCTCCTTGCCTGCCAGCCGGGCTTCATCCAGCTCCCGCTCAGTAGAGGCCAGCTCTCTAGACAGTGCCCCTGGCACACTCTGCTCTCGGCTCACCCAGTCCAATGCCATTTGGTGGCGAATATCATCATCCAGGGCCCGATGCGAATAGTGAGCCAACACTTCCTATAGGGGGAGAGGAAATGTGAAGGTCACTGAATATGGTAAAGATTCATATCACATTAACCCAACTGGGACTAGGAACTCTTAGCCTTGGAGTCCTAAGTGAAGTCAGCACTTCAGTCCTCTAAGAAGGTTTTTTTTTATTTTGGTACATGCCCCTAGCGGCAACCGAACCCGGGACTCTTGGTCCGCAGGCTGACCGCTGAGCCAAACAGGCCGGGGCTAAGACGATTCTTTTTTTTTTTATCCTCACCCGAGGATATTTTTCCATTTTTTGTACAGATAGAGTGGGAGGGAGAGAGAGGAAGGGAGAGAGAGTGAGAAACATCGACGTGAAGGGACACATCGAGTGGCTGCCACCCGCACGACCAACCAGGGCCGGGGACAAACTGCAACCGAGGTACGTGCCCTTAGCGGGAACCGAACCCGGGTCTCTCCGGACCGCAGGCCAATGCTCTAACCGCTGAGCCAAACTGGCCAGGGCTAAGACGATTCTTAAGGGAAATATCCTGGTGGGGGGAGAAGCAAAGCAGGCAAAAGAATCACAGCTAAGATTTAAATGGGGAAGATAACAGTGACAAGGGCACTTTAATTAAGGCTTTCAGTATTTGCAACCTGGTGTCAAATAGGCCTGATTATTTCTAACACAACAGCCATCTCAAAAATAGTCCCTCTGCCAAACTCCCCTCACCCATAGGATCTCTTACCTGACGAGAGCACTGTCTTTCCCTCATGGCCTTAAGGCTGCCATTCCAGTGCAGCAGTTGAAAAACTGTCATTAGCTCCTGGGGGAAAAAATATGAAGTGCCAGGACAGTGATTAGATATTGGGAGGTTGCATCAGAATTACGTAGGTAACGTTTTATAACATGTATTTGTGGAGGCATCTCTTAAAAACCAACTCTGATATGTCCTTGGGGGAACAAAGGTATTTATATTTTGAAAAATATCCTAACCTCCTGCTCTCCCTTCCTTTCCAATTAAGTATCAACGTGTTAGGGAATTGTAGGAGAGGCATGTGCGCGCTGACCCACGCTATTAGAGCCAGGGGTATAAATGGAATATAGTACCTGGAATTCCAACATTGACTTGCCCTTGTTGGATTCCAACATGAATCGAAAGGCACCAATCCCTGTATTTGGGTTGTCAGCTTCTTCCCTGTTGCCCTGGTAACAGGAATAAAGATTCTCAATCAGAATTATCACCTCAAGCAGCACTGTCCAATAGAAATATAATTAATATAAAACATACTAATTTTGCCCTGGCCAGTGTGGCTCAGCGGTTAGAGTGTAGGCCTGCATACTGAAGGGTCTCGGGTTCAATTCCCAAGCAAGGGCATGCACTTGGGTTGCAGATTCAATCCCTGGTGCCTGTGGCCATGTGCGGAAGGCAACCAAATGATGCGTCTCTCTCACATTGATGTTTCTCTCTCTCCCCGCCCCCTCACTTTCACTGTCTCTAAAAATCAATGGAAGTATCCTCGGGTGAGGATTAAGAAAATAAATAAATAAAGTAAAATATACTGATTTTTTTTTCCTGTTTTTGAAAATCAGCCTTGTCGAAACAAGGCCACCAAAATTTTGGTTGCCCCCCCCCCCCAAAAAAAATGGGAGAGAGAAAGAAGATGGAAAATGTTCTAATTTTAATAGCATATTTTATTTAACCTAATATATGCAAAGTATTTAAACTGTAATTAGTATAAAATTATTAATGAACTATTTTTCTTTTTCTTGTACTAACTTTTCAGAATCTGGTGTCTCTTGCCTACAGTCATAGTAGCCACATTTCAAGTGTTCAATAACTATATGTGGCTAGTGGTTATTCTGCTTGTCAGCACATACCCAGAGGATTCTAAAGTTATCACACATTTTAACTCAGGGGACAGAGAAAGGTTGATCTGATTGTTCCTATTTTATAAGGGAGAACATTGAGACATAGAGAAGAACCCTGATTTAGCCACAATAACAGAGTGAGTTCAGCATGTGAGGCTGGACTAGACTAGAGGACAACTGGGCAAATGCATTTTAAAGGGAGCCAGTAGGAACGATAAGCATGGCAAATTCTAGGTAGCAGTTTGGCCTCCTGAACATTTGCCTCATGTGTCTTCTATTGGTGATATGAGCCTGCAAGGCTAGAACCAAGATACATTGTCCTACCTGTAAGCATAGCATGTGCAAAAAAACAATACAATATAGAAGTTAAGAGCATGGTCTAGAGCTCCTAATAGTCTTATGGCCTTGCTGAAGTCATTTAACCTTCTGTTCCTCAGTTTCCTCATCTGTAAAATGGGAATAATCATAGATCTACCTTATAGGATAGTTTTGAGAATTAAATAAGTTAAAAAATTTTTAATTTAAAAAGTAATAAATATAGTTTAAAACTCCAATCATATAAAATGTGGGTACATAATTGTACTGGACCTGCTGTTCAGTTACACAATTTAAATCCATACTGGTATTGGCTCTGATTTGGTGCTATTAAAAAAATTTTTTTTTTAATATATATATTTTTTCTTTATTGATTTTAGAGAGGGAGAGAGAGAGATACAAACATCAATGAGAGAACATCATTTGGCTGCCTCCTGCATGCCCCCAACTGGAGATTGGGCCCACAAGCTGGGCATGTGCCCTGATTGGGAATGGAACCGGTGACCTCTTGGTGCATGGATCGATGCTCAACCACTGAGCCACACCAGTTGGGTGATTTGATATTTTGTGGTAATTTAATATTATTTAATGAGCCCTGGCCTGGTAGCTCAGTTGGTTAGAGTGTCGTCCTGATATGCCAAGGTTGCAGGTTCAATCCCTGGTCAGGGTACATACAAGAATCAACCAATGAATGCATAAATAAATGGAATAATAAATGAATGTTTCTCTCTCTTTTTCTCTCCCCACTTTTCTCTCTAAATAAAAATTAAAAAGAAAAAAATATTATTGAGGATAATTCCAGGGTCTGGGGCTGGTTGGGTCTTCCAAAATAAGGGTATTGATGGTGACTAATCAGGGTATTGGTTTATTGATGACCTTTTTGTCAACCTGATTTAGGAAAATAAGGCCAGGAGACTACTTAGAACACAGGGATCCAACTTTCTCCTCCTGCTTCCTGAGAAATTGCCTGCTCTTTCTAGCTAGCCATTTTCACAGCATACAGCCCCACTCCCAAGATAAGAATGTTTATTCTGCTCTCTTTGAGAAAGGGAACTGGGTAGAGGTCAGGAGCCAATCAATTTATACTCAAATTCAGCTTTTCGTGGGGCCCTTTGTCATGAGATTTTATTGTATTTGCATCACACTTAAAATAATGCCAGACACTTAATAAGAACACCATTAAGTGCTAGAAAACAATTATTATTTATTTTCATTGTGTTAGAATCAATAAGTCAAAATTATTCAAGATCAACCCATGTTGTTTTGTGGCTCATGAGAAACAATCATGCCCAATGTAGTTAATCTTTGTGGTGAAGCAAAGATCACAAAATTTGGATTTACAAGTGAAAAGCTAGAAGGAGGAAGGAAAAGGTAATCTTCACTATCAGGATTTAGGGTTCTGAAGCAAGCAACTATTTTCATTTTTTGCCTATAATTGTTCAATATGATACCTTACTCAGCATCTTCAAAATTGTCCATGATATGACACCTAGACAATAATGATCATATCTGTACAGCTAACTTGGATATACAGAGGAGATGGCTGGCAGAGCTGCCTGCCAGCAAAGGCTGTGGGGCAGAGGAATCCATCTGTCCCAGGCCCTGCACAGTCCTCTAACAGCTGAGGGGATCAATATCATGGCACATCTGTAACCTATCTGGAGTACACTAGAGTGGCATGACCCACTAGTTGGGAAGTTCTAACTCATATGACACTTATACACTTAACATGGTTATAAATGAACTCCATCTATTCAATAAAGATTTAATCACAGAATATTTGATAAAGGGTAGGAACATTCGAATATAATTGGAAAGAAATTAGAGTTAATTTGATTTAACCTACTTATTTTACAAATGAGGAAACTCAGACCAACTGAGGCTAGGTGATTTGTCAAAAGACATAGTATAGTAGTTACAAAATTGTAACAGGGATATAAAGTACAGTATAGAAAACATAGTCAATAACAGTTTAATAACTTTGTATGGTGCTGGTGGATACTAGACTCATCATGGGGATCACTTCGTAAATTATATAAATGTCTAACCACTATGCTGTACACCTGAAACTATTATAAAATAATACTGAATGTTAACTGTAATTGATAAATTAAGAAAAAAAAAAGACGTAGTATAATATAGTGTCAGATTCAGGATTTTTTTGACAATTTTTAATGAGAGTTTTTATTTGAGCCAAGGAGCAAGATCTTAAATGCTTCTAAATTCAGGAATTTTATTTTATTATTATTTATTTTATTTATTTATTTTTTATCCTCACTCGAGGACATTTTTCCATTTTTTTGTTCCAGTAGAATGGGAGGGAGAGAGAAACAGAGAGAGAGAGAGAAACATCGACGTGAAAGGGACACATCAAGTGGCTGCCACCCACATGACCAACTAGGGCCGGGGACAAATTGCAACCGAGGTATGTGCCCTTAGTGGGAACCGAACCCGGGACTCTCTGGACCGCAGGCCGACGCTCTAACTGCTGAGCAAAACCGGCAAGGGCTATTTTATTATTACTATCTTCATTGATGTTAGAGAGAGAGGAAGGGAGAGAGAGACAGAAACATCAGTGAGAGAGAACATCGAATTGGCCGCCTCCTGCATGCCCTCCACTGGAGATCAGGCCCACAACCTAGGCATGTGCCCTGACTGGGAATCGAACCAGCAACCTCTTGGTGTATGGATCGATGCTTAACCACTGAGCCACAATGGCCAGGCTATTATTTTTGTTATTGTTAATCCTCACCCGAAGATATTTTCCATTGATTTTTTTTAAAGAGAGAGTGTAAGGGAGGGAGGGAGGAAGAGGGGAAGAGAGAAAAAGAGAGATATTGATTGGTTGCCTCTCACAAGGGGCTGGCAGGGGGCAGGGGATCGAACCTGCAACCTAGGTATTTGCCCTTGACCAGAAGGGGCCCATGCTGATGAGCCTAGTTGTCCAGGGCCAGATTCAGGAATTTTAAAGAAGCTGAAAACAAAGAATGTGGTCAATCACTCTTTACCCATGGCTAAGGAACAAATGAAAATTGTTCTGGAGAATGGGGATTCTACTGGGATATTAATGAGAAATCCATTAACTTCTTGATTTGGGGGGGGGTTAATCAAAGAGGAATAGCGGCTTGAGAATAATAATTGTTTAAATTTCTTTACTTTCACTTTGTAGTAGACACTGCTGGTACCTACTTGACATCTATTTTCTTCTTCCATACTATAGAACCTTAATCTTGTGTGTCTACTTGTCTCCTATGTGCCTCAGGGAAAGTGGATAAATCCTAATCCCTTTTGGTGCCTTTTTTTGTTTTTGTTTTTGTAATTGATTTTAAGGTAGGAATTCTGGCCATTGAGAGGTCTGCTGTTTCTGGGAAAACATTCTTTACTACTAAAGAGACACTAGAAAAGGTGGTCTCTTTCTGTCTCTGAATGTAATTATGTCTGAATGTCAGGATTTGTAGCCATCTTGAACCCTGAGCGGAGCCAGCCCAAGGACAAAGTCAGTATCCAGAGAGGATGGTTAAGTGGAGAGATGGAAAGAATCTGGGCCAGATAATGACATCCTTGATCCATAGAATCAACCAGCCCTGAAATCTGCTCTACTTCTGGACTTCCTGTCTGTCATGTTAGATAATAAATTTCCTTCCTTTACTTATTCCCTTATGTCAACTTGAAGTGATATTTTCTATTATTTGCATGCAAAGGCATCTAAATAGATAACATGTGCTATGTGCTTGAATATATTCTCTTTTATCCAATAATCCTATGGGATAGGTATAATTGTTATCCTATTTTACAGATGAGGAAACTGAGACTTAGATGAAATAATTTGTTCAAAGTCACATAGCTAGTAGAATCATAATTTCAAGACAAGAATCGAGCCCATGCTTACAACCACTGCTTTCTATAATCCCAAGTAATGTTTTGTTTTATAATACATTAGGTAGTGAGTGACAAATGTACTTTCTTAATTTAATTGGCTTTGATTAATATAAAAATGTTTTTTCCTGAAGATACTGCTGACTAGGGTAAAGAGTAAAGGGAGAAAAACAGATGGATCCTAGGTAACAAATTTATGACTTAACATGTTCAACACTAATCCATAAAACAGATAACTGAAGAAGTTTAGTATATGCCATTACATCTTAAATGCTAAGAGGATAGAAACAGAAAAGTGATCTGACTTTATCACCCTGTCAATGAACTTGTGGGAGGGAGGAAGAAGGCAGTGTTAACTTCTAAGATGTACCTTAAGCTAGAAAAGTCTATAAATTGGCTTGGGTTCCAGTCTTGGCTCTATCACTTACTAGCTCTGTCACTTTAGGCAAAAATTCACTTCTATTTTTAGTTTCTTTATCTGAAAAACAGGGATAATAATAGTACTTATACATAATAGGATTATTGTTAAGATCGAATGAGATGTAATACGTACATATAAATCCCTAGAATAGTTCCTGGCACAAAGTAAATAACTGGGATTAGCTATGGTTATTAATCATCATCATTATCATTTGAAAGAACAAATGTTCTTTTTAAAGAAAGTAAATAAAGTATTCTCTTCATTCCTAAAAGCCAAGAAACTATTTATTGTATTCTTTTTTTATTTTTCATTTTTTTATCCTCACCTGAGGACATTTTTCCATTTTTTGTTCAGAGTGGGAGGGAGAGCGAGCAAGAGAGAGAGAGAGAGAAACGTCGATGTGAAAGGGACACATCGAATGGCTGCCACCCACACGACCAACCAGGGTCGGGGACAAACTGCAATCGAGGTATGTACCCTTAGCGGGAACTGAACCTGAGACTCTGGTCCACAGGCCGACACTCCAACAGCTGAGCCAAACCGGCCAGGGCTTCTTCTTCTTTTTGTTAAGTATGTTTTTTATTGATTTCAGAGAGGAAGGGAGAGGGAGAGATAGAAACATTTCACCCTACTGGGGATCAAGCCAGCAACCCTGGAATGTGCCCAGACCAGGCATCGAACTGGTGACCTCCTGGTGCCTGGGACAACACTCAACCAACTGAGCCACACTGGCCGAGGGTTTACACACACATATATATGTATTCCAAATACATATCTATATTTGTTGTTGTTAATCCTCACCCAAAGATATTTTCCCATTAATTTTTATATAGAGTAGAAGGGAGGAAGGGGGGGAGAGAGAGAGAGAAACCAACATGAGAGAGAGACATCAATTGGTTGCCTTCTGCATGACCCCAGCCAGGGCCAAGGATTGAACCTACAACCCAGGTACATGCCCTTGACCAGGAATTGAACCCATAACCATTCGGTCTCGGGCCGATGCTCGAACTGCTGAGCCAAACCAGCCAGGGCGAGGTTTTATATTCTTTATTAATAGAATAAAGTAATGGAGGTAAGAGACAAGTGACAATAAAAAGTCATATAAAATAAAAAAACAGTTTAGGAAGAAGGGACTAAGGTCTAAAACAAAAACTGAGGAAGAGAAAATTCAAGCTCAATTTTTGTTTTGTAATATCCCTAAAATGCCATAAATCTTGAATTAAAGGTTTCTAGATACCAAAGAGACACAAAGGTTTCTAAAGACTAAAGAAACAAAATTGCAACAAAATATAAACACACATATAGAATTAGAGAAAGGCATATGGGGTATGTAATACAAAAGACTTACAGAAAAAACAGAACAGAGATGTAGACAAGAAATAAAACAAGAGTTCACGCCCTGTTTCCCAGTAATATACAAGACTTGCCAACCAGCCAGTTCTCCCATCTCCCACTCTCCTTCCTTCCAACTCCAAGTAACTTACATTGAAAGATGCCAGGGCCTCAGAGACACTCTTCTCAATGAACTCATCAGTGATTCTTCGGGAAGGATGTTCATTAAACACAGAGTTCATTAGTGCAATCTTTGCAGCACTCCGCCGGGCCTCAGCTTTTGTGGGGCAAAACTAGGCAGGGTAGTGAGAGAGAAAATGTGTATATGTGTGTGTGAGAGAGAGAAGGAACAATGGGAGGGAAACATTTGGGATAGTAGATAGTTGGACACTCTTTTTGGATAAGACAGTTTCTTCAACATTCCCTCCAAAGTTTTTATTGTAAAATGGTGGGGGCATTTGGAAACATAATTTTGATTCAACATCCTGAAGTTATTAAAGAACTGGAGATGGTTATAGCTCATACCAAATTGAATGCAGAATGAGGAAGGCTGCTGAAGTCAGCATATAATCACTGGATATGAAAAACAGCCCTGTTTAAACTGTCAACAGAATTAATTACTCAAAAATCAGATTCTGGCCAGCCTGTTAGAAATCTGTATCTTGTTGTCTTGTTCTGTGACTAGGCAAGACTTTTTTCATCCCCTTAGATAACCTAAGACTAGAACAGAGCTGTGTCTAGGCTGCTTTTGCAGAGGAGACCTCTACTCTCTCCCAGAAGCACCCATCTGGGATTCTTGGCTTTCACTTTTAGCTGCAAACAGTTCCTCCAATAATGTAATGAACCAAGGAGCTATCCCTGAACAGTCTGAGGCCTGAAGAAGGAATTTGTAGTCTTCTCTTCCCCCAGTGGAAACAAGGAGAAGAGGGGTGGCTAGGGAAAAGAAAGCTGACCTGAGCAAAGCAATAAAAAATTAAAATTCATGTTTTTACATTGTATCCAGATAGGTATCATAGAACAGTCTGATTTTCAGAAGTCTTAAATAATTCCATTTCAGACCTCTAGGCACCATAATATTCCTTTATAATTCATCTTCACTGGCCACTTCAAAGGCCTCTGTGCCCTTTGTCATTTATGATTAGGATTAGAGAAAAGGAAGAAAGTGATGTTACAATTTTAAAAAGTATACCAGGATATGTTTGCTACTTAACCATCCTCAATTATCAGTAATTCTCAATTTCCTTTAGCTGACAGGTCTCTCTGGGACAGCATGTGGAGCTTGGTACATTAACCCTAAGTCTTTTTGCTTCTTCAATTTCTGTTTCAACTTCTCTGTTTTCTAGCCTACTATCTAGTGCTGTTTCTGAGAAGTCATCTAGAAAAAAACCAATGGAAGAAATTCCAGCTGCCAAAGTAAATATAAAACAATCTGCCCAGCCGGTGTGGCTCAGTGGATTGAGCATCGCCCCATGGACTGAGAGGTCCTGGTTTGATTCCCGGTCAGGGCACATGCCCAGGTTGTGGGCTTGATCCCCAGTAGTGCAGATGGCAGCTGATCAATGTTTCTCTCCCATCGATGTTTCTATCTCCCCCTCTCCCTTCCTCTCTATCTAAAAAAATCAATAAAAATATATTTACCAAATAAATAAACAAAACAAAACATAATCTAAACCCGGCCGGTGTGGCTCAGTGGACGGAGCGTCGTCCCATGGACTGAGAGGTCCCAGTTCGATTCCCAGTCAGTGCACATGCCAGGGTTGTGTGCTCCATCCCCAGTGGGGGCTGTGCAGGAGGTAGCCAACTGATGTTTCTCTTTCACATCAATGTTTCTATCTCTCGAGTTTCTCCTTTCCTCTCTCTCTCTAAAAAAAAAATAAAAACATATTTTTTTTTAAAAACATAATCTAAAAGGGGCCATAATAGATAATTCTACTTTTTAAGCAAATAAGAGAAATCAAATTACTATAATAGTCTAGCTTTGGGCATCATCAGAAAATAATCAAATCCTTATTCAGCAATATGATGAGGTGGGAGAAGGGAAGGAAAGATCTTATTCTGTAGGAGAAAAAGCATAAACATTAGTCATTCTGTGCACATATTTATTTCTCTGAAATGGCTGGAGGTTCTAAGGGGGGAAATTTAGTTATCTGATTTTAAATGAAGCTTACTGAGGACTGCTTCTGTTTGAGGGAGGAACTGAACTGCAGTGGCTCTCATTCATGCAACAGATTTATTAAGTGTCTACTTTGTGCTGGGTGCTGCGTTTGGTGGTAGAGCTTCAAAACTGAACAAAGGCCCTGGCTGGTGTGGCTCAGTAGGTTGGAATGCTGTGCCATATACTAAAAGGTGGCAGGTTAGCCCTGGCCGGTTTGGCTCAGCGGTTAGAGCATCGGCCTGCGGTCCCGAGAGACCCAGGTTCGGTTCCCACTAAGGGCATGTACCTCGGTTGCAGTTTGTCCCCGGCCCTGGCTGGTCGTGCGGGTGGCAGCCACTCGATGTGTCCCTTTCACGTCGATGTTTCTCTCTCTCTCTCTCTCCCTCTCCCTCCCTCCCACTCTACCTGAACAAAAAAAAAAATGGAAAAAATGTCCTCGGGTGAGGATAAAAAAAAAAAAAGGTGGCAGGTTAAATTCCTGGTCGGGACACATACACAGGTCTCATCCCTGGTTAGGGTATGTGCAGGGGGCAGCCTATGGATGTCTCTCTCTCTCTCTAAAAAAAAAAAAAATCAATAAAATAAAATAAATAAATTAATTAATGATAAAAAAAAACTGAACAAGAAAGAAGACAGACACTATCTCTGCCTCCATGGAGTGTCATCCACTAGGAGAGATAAACAATTATGATATATTGTGGTAAGTGATATTATAGGAAAAGTTCAAGGTGTATGGAAGCACAAAGCAGGGGTTAAACATTGTCTAAGGGTTATACAAACCATATGGAAAACAGAACAGAAGTCTCCTTTCTAAATTC